AAGTCGGTGAAATGAGTAGCTTGGGAAAGCTTAACCTCTCCTACAACAACCTTCAAGGCAAATTGGACAAACAGTATGCACATTGGCCAGCTGATGCATTCACCGGGAATCCACGTCTTTGTGGAAGTCCTCTGCAGAATTGTGAAGTCTCTAAGTCCAACAATCGGAGTTCAGGACTAAGTAACTCGACAGTTGTGATCATTTCAGTGATATCGACTACTGTAGCGATCATACTTATGTTGCTTGGAGCTGCACTCTTTTTCAAGCAAAGGCGAGAAGCCTTTAGAAGAGGAAGTGAAGTAAATAGTGCTTACTCATCCAGCTCTTCTCAAGGACAAAAGAGACCACTTTTCGCAAGTGTAGCTGCTAAGCGTGATATCAGGTGGGATGACATCATGGAAGCAACAAACAATCTAAGCAACGACTTCATAATCGGATCTGGTGGTTCAGGAACTGTCTATAAAGCTGAGCTGTTTAACGGAGAGATCGTGGCAATCAAGAGAATACCAAGCAAGGATGATCTCTTGCTAGACAAATGCTTTGCAAGAGAAATCAAAACACTTTGGAGGATAAGGCACAGACACTTGGTGAGGCTACTCGGATACTGCAACAACAGCGGAGAAGGTTCAAACGTACTGATTTATGAGTACATGGAGAATGGAAGTGTGTGGGATTGGCTTCACAAGCAGCCAGATAATAACAACAAGAGGAAAACATGCCTCGATTGGGAGGCAAGGCTGAAGATAGCGGTGGGATTAGCACAAGGAGTTGAGTACCTTCATCATGATTGTGTACCGAAGATCATTCATAGGGACATCAAATCCAGTAATATTCTACTAGACTCAAACATGGAGGCACATTTGGGAGATTTCGGGCTGGCTAAAGCCGTTCATGATAACTATAATTCCTACAACACTGAATCAAACTTGTGGCTTGCTGGTTCATTTGGTTATATTGCTCCAGGTATATATCATATCTGAATTCTCGAGTATTAGCATTCGAAAAAAAAACAGTTCTTTTTTGTTATACTAAGTTGCTTATTTGTTGGCAGAGTATGCTTATTCTTCGAGGGCAACAGAGAAGAGTGATGTTTATAGCATGGGGATTGTACTGATGGAGCTAGTGAGTGGAAGGATGCCAACTGATGGGAGTTTTGGCGAAGACATGGACATGGTGAGGTGGATTGAGTCGTGTATCGAGATGTCTAAGGAAGAGGTTATTGATCCTGTTTTGAAACCATTGTTACCTAATGAAGAAAGTGCTGCACTTCAAGTGCTGGAAATAGCACTTGAATGCACCAAAACTGCACCTGCTGAAAGGCCATCTTCGCGCAAAGTTTGTGATCTGTTGCTACATGCATTCAACGATAAGGTGGTTCATTCTGATAAAATGAGTCCAGACAATTACGTCTAGACGTTTAGTTTACTTATGTTTTGTAAGATCTTCATCTTGTGAAAAAATTGATCATTATGTAATAGCATTGATTCTAGCTAGGAAAGGTTTCCATAAGAATATCATTTTCCCTTTGTGTTATTTCTAGAATTTAACTATAATCTCACAAGTAGGACCTACGGAAGGTAGAACTATATACATACCTTACTCTTGCCTTGTAGAGAAACAGAGAGTGTTTCTGACAGACCTACGACTTAAAATAAAGCATATATATATCCAAGCTAATAATGTTATTCATCTATAACCAAGTTATAAACAATGATGAATGAGCCAACAAAGTCAAAGTATTTGGTCCCCTCCTTTCAAAATATTGAAGCATTTGTTATATTTCATAGTCTCGACTCCCTATCTCCACGAGGTATGAATAGTGAAAAAACATGGGAGTGTGAGAGGTGATTGAGAAGTGAGACCTGATAAAACAGGTTTAAGTTTTTTATTTATTATGTCTTTTACTATAAAATGAATATCTTGCAAGACGATAGTACTCAAATGAAAAAAAATGAACCTTAATCGTTCTATGGTTTCGATTTTGTGTTTATTTTCTTATATCGTGTATTTTTTTTTTCATATTGTTATGTTAGTCTTCTTTTTTGGTAATTTTCATATATGGATAATATATTTCATAACTTCTCAATGAGAACTTCACATGATTATTTTGTTGCCGTAAATAAGAGTAACTTTTATTAGTATAGTAACAATTTAAATACTATTTGTGGTACTTGCCAATAAATAATAACAACTGTGATAACATTACTAGACCATTTATTTTTAGTCAAATTATGAGGAAGATATAAATTTTATCGTTTTCTTTTTTATCAACAAAAATTAAATTTGATGCGTTTAGAGATGAAAATGCATGATAATATATTTGAGTAATACATATTATCTCATATTTCATTATTGAGAAGTGAAAATACATAGTACCATATAATGCAAATATAATATTTTCTATTATATATTTTGTTTGTTGTTAATTTATTTTGACCGATTACATCTATTAAACAGTTAAACAAATACAAAATATTCAGCAATTTATACAGTTGCATTTAGAATTATTTGAATAATATATACATTATCTACATCTTGTTTTTCAAGTCGTTATTTAATGCAAATAAAAGAATTTGATAATTTTGTTTAGTGTTAAATTTTCGTGGCATTTGAGTGATATGAAAAATCTAGTAACTTATAAGTCGTTATAGTTATTGTGTGAAAATACATAGTAATATATTTAATATAATTAATTATTTATTTGCGAATCTTTACTTTTTTATTATTTAAAGGAGTATGCAAAATAAAAAATGATAAGTAAAATAAATCAAAGCATATGCTAAATAATGACATGAACGAATTAAAATATATAGTGGAGATTCATCTAGATGATTCATCGTTGCGTATTAATTTATAACCTAGAAAGAATAGCATATTCAAGCTTCTTGTATAAATAAATAAAAATCCACTAACAATAACTTTTTTTAAAAAAAAGAAAATTGTTATATCTTAACGTAAGCACATAAAATACAGGTGGACCATTATAATTTAAGTTCTTTTATTATATTATAATTGATTCGATTTACATATTGCCACATTCTATCTTTACTATAAAAAATATATATCCTAAATTAATAACGTCCAACTGAATAATATAAATATTTTTATTATTGAATTTTGATGTATGCGATAAAGTCAACAAAATTTGACCAAAGATATGAAATATATTATTTATTTATTTTGCTTAAGCATAAACTTCAAAATCTTCATCCATCTAGCTTTTTTTTTAATGCCAAATTTTTTCAAAGAAAATTATAATAATTAACAAAACTATATGGCACTTGTTAAAAGCCTAAATTTTTATAATTCTACGTACGTTTCCTACTTTATGTTTATTTTTTCCTTCAAATTGTCATGTTAGTCTTCTACTCTTCTTCCCTCTAATAAGAATCTCACGTGATTAACCTAACTTTCTTAATAAATAAATATTTTATCAGTGACGTTCTACATTTATTATATCTTCCTTAAAACACTTATCGCTCATGCTACACCCTCCCACTTTTATTACTTTTGCTATATTACATATGAATGCTCTTGAGAACTGAGATAACATTTTTTTACCTAATTACCAAAAATAAGTAAAATTCAATTTGTTTTCCAAAAACAAAATATTTAATGAAAACATTTTTCATGAATGTTAATTGCAACACAATTAACAATGCAATAAACATTCGAAGTTAAAATAAGTGTTGGGTTTTAGAATTTATCGCTGTGAAAACAAAGTAGATGATATACGAATTTCTAGTGTACCCATGGAATAACGCTTTATTGGACCTAACACATAAACGAAGATTTTAATACGAATACCAAACATAAGAAATAAAAGATACGTAATGCTTGCACATTTGCCTCATTTTTATTTTTTTTTAACCTAGAAATGGCAAGTACTCCTATATCGTTAAACGAAAAATCGATACATTTACTGAATGTTACCTAAATATGACATATTCACTGAATGACATAAAAAGTTTCTGAAGCGTCAAGTTTATTACTAGTATATAGTACTATTTTGTTACAATTTTTCCATGTGCATTAATACTTTACAACAAATTCACCAGATTTATACATATTCAATATAAAGAAGACCTAAAACAAGTCTCAACTTAGAAACACATATCCTAGAATGAGTACTAAACTTAATTTGACACAGAATAGGAAAAATTGGAATGTACACAAATAAGGAGATGTAAAAAAGGATACGTATCAAAAAGGCGTTAAATGACACAAGAATGATACATCTTTTATGAATGTTGTAGGATTCAGATGCTAGTACTTGAGTCGAGGGTATATCAGAAGCAACCTCTATTATGCTGGTGGTGGTGGTTGAACAACTCCAGATACATCAAAAAAGACACTCAAGCCTTTGATCTAGTATAGGTTGGGTTGCTGGAAGAGCTGGACCATGTACAAAGGTCTATCGTACACAACTTTACCGTGTATTTCTGCAAGAGGTTGTTTCCGCAGCTCGAGGGGCTACCGTTACTGGGAAGATGATACAGCACTGTCATTTCAAGTTATGCAAGTGAAACCATACAGGGAACAGGTGTTTCTGGGGGGGAGGAGTGAAAGGTATGAATGATATCTCTACTGTATAAAGAACTACTACTAGCAAAAGAAGCAAGTGTGTGTAAATACATACGCATTCAAACTGCATCAGTTATGTAATTGTTTAACCTAAAACAGGATTGTTACGCTAAAGACAAATAGGGAAAACGCAAAAGAGACAAGGAATGAATGAAAACTGGATCTCATACCATACATAGAAGCTGGTTTACGATTCACAAGCATCTGATTTTCGTGCTCACCACGAATGCAAGAAACATAAGGTCTAAACATCATCCATACACAAACTGATACATTACTACACCATTTTCCAGTTTTCACAAATAATCAAAGATGAGTAAGCATAATAAAGATGAACAAGCATAATAATCGATGAGCAGATATATAGCGTAATAAAGGAAAGAAATTCTAAAAAAGAAGAGGTAAGAGAACGAAAGTTGGAACAAAAGTATTTTCATTTCCATAGCGCTACCAACTGTCTTACAAGTAAACTAGGTTTATAGACGACCAACTGCAGGAAAATATAAAAGTACTAATACACAAGCCTATATTATGCCGAAGAACAACCTTGCAGAACTTTATTTCTCTCCTCGACTAAGTCAAGAAAATAAAGATCGCAAAACCCAAAAAAGGACCCAAGTTTCTACTACTTACTTATCTATATAGTAGCTTTTAGCAGACACTAATAGAAAAACTATAACTGTATTGCTCGTTATTTCACCTAACCTTAAAACTATTTTGATGACCACCTTTGGAATATCATGTTACTGGAGAAGACGATTGACTTGATTGAAGTTGAAATGGAAAAGAAAATTGTACTCAAGACCTTGTATGTAGTTGAATCTTGAGTCCAGTTTGTGCTTCCCCATTCTGAAAAGAGGTTAAAAAGGAAAGTTTTTTCTGATAAGATAAAAAAGTTTTTGATAAATTACCCATTAGCAAGAATCCTGTTGCCCCCGGAAACCAATTATGTAATGATCGGAACCCAAACACCCGCTACATGGTGCTGCCAAATCTTCAGCACCCCATAACTGCGCAATTATACACAAAAGTACCAGAACTCTTACTGCCAAGCAAGGTCCATACTGGAGGCCCTTCACTCGGCACCCACGAATTCACCCCAATATACCCATCGCCCATAGCCCTAGGACCTCCAACTACAATCAATCTATCGCCACAGGCACGAAATGCTAAACCCCATCCATTCATGGAAGCAGCTCCTTCAGGCAACCCTCCCATGGTAACCCATGTCTTGCTTGACTTGTCAAACTTCCTAACCACCATGGCAGCATAATCGGCAGAATATAGTTCGTTATTAACAACTCCCACCAGTGGAGGTGCTTCGGATGAAGCAGGGATATCAGTCCTACCAGCGTTAGGTCGCACAGGGGACATGTTTGGGATTTCCGTCCATTTTCCTGTTGTCAGGTCATACTCCTCAGCACATGTCATCAGCGTCCCGTCAGCTCCACCAATACCCCCTATCACGTAAAATTTACCGTCCATGAAAACGCCAGAGCACATCTTCCGTGGGCGGTTCATGCTAGGCAATACCCTCCACGAGCCGTCCTCCGAGTTGTAGATCTCAGCCGAGCTAAGGATTATCCCTCGTGAATCACAGCCGCCAGCGAGAATGGCAATCGCTCCAAGGCTGGCAGAACCGAACAGGCATCGAGGCGCATTCATCTGCATCCCGGTTGTCCATGTATTTGTCAGTAAGCTGTACCGATAAATAACATGTGACAACACCTCCTTTCCAAAAACAAGAAGCTCTGTACCAACTGCCAAAGATTCCTTGTCGGAGAACACGAAGCACTCATTGGGATTCATCGTCGGCAGTTTCATCCAACGGCGCCTATTGGGGTCGAATGCATCCCATTCGAGCAGCTGGCACGAGAAATACACCCAGTGCTCCACCACACCAATTTTTCGTCGCAACCTATACAGCTCATCGCTCCTAACTAATGAGCGAAATGCACTATTCAAAGATGCTAAGGTGCTATAATCTGACCTTGAGCACCAAGCGAGAGAACTTACAGAGTTATCCCGGCCAATGGCAGGAATAAGCGAACTGATATCAGCATTGTCCCCAGCATCATCCCCAGTCTGATGCTGATTGCCAGCTTGCTCATCAGGGGGTGCTGCAGCAGAATCATCCTCAGCATGACCCTTATTATCAGCTTGCTCATCAGCGGATGCTGAACCAAAGTTCTTCCCAGCACGAGCCTCGTTGTCAGCTTGCTCATCATCGGATGCTGAAACAAAATCCTCCCAAGCAAGAGCCTGATTGTCAGCTTGCTCATCATCGGATGCGGAATCAAAATCCTCCCAAGCAAGAGCCTGATTGTCAGCTTGCTCATCATCGGAATCAAAATAGTCACCAGCACGAGCCTCATTGTCAGCTTGCTCATCATCGGATGCTGAATCAAAATCCTCCCAAGTAAGAACCTGATTGTCAGCTTGCTCATCATCGGATGCTGAATTAAAATACTCCCCAGCACGAGCCTCATTGTCAGCTTGCTCATCAGCGGATGCTGAATCAAAATTCTCTACAGCACGAGCCAGATTGTCAGTTTGATCATCAGCAGATGCTGAATCAATTTTTTCTACAGCACGAGCCTGATTGTTAGCTTGCATATCAGCGGATGCTGAATCAATATTCTCTACAGCACGAGCCTGATTGTCAGCTTGCTCGTCAGCGATTGCTGAATTGAAATTCTCTACAGCATGAGCTTGATTGTCAGCTTGCTCATCAGCGATTGCTGAATTGAAATTCTCTACAGCACGAGCCTGATTGTCAGCTTGCTCATCAGCGGATGCTGAAGAATTGCCCACGGAGAAAACCCCTCCATCTAGCTCAGAACCATCAGACTGCTTCTGCAACTTGCATTGCACATTTACACCTTCCTCGTCATTTTCCAATGGCCTTTTGCCATTCTGGGCATCAATCCTATCAATGTGATAACTCATGCAGCCCGTCGTCCAGTTATTTTCTGTTAGACAATCCCTTTGAACCATACACGTACGATCCTCCAACATGTCTTCCAGATTGAACCCTAGAACAAACACCAGTTCCGCAACCCTCCTGTGCTCAGTCCTAACAAAACAGATATCCATATAACAAAATTAGTGTAGAACAACCCTAAAACCAAAAGATTCATCAAAACCAGGTTAAAATTCAAACAACACACAGAAAAAACAAATTCTCAATCACCAAACCACAAAAACTAATTTTTCCCTTGTTGTATATCATTCAACATCAGTTTTGATCATCAGTTAGAGAAAATCAAATCAAATACCAGTAACATTAAAATGTATAAAAAAAAAACAATTCTTATAAACACAAATGCAGGATTTTTTCAGTAAACCAAAAAAAACCACAAACATCTATAACCCCTCATTGATTCAACTAAAAAAAAATTCTATAATCCCTCATTGATTCAACTTGAAAAAAAAAACCTCTAATCCAGATCAAAAGCAACTCCATTCAGCATTCAATCCAATCCAACAGATCCTGTAAAAACAATCAAACAGAGAAAAACCCCCCAAAACCAAAAACACCCTAAAAATCAAATCTTTTTAATCAAATAAACATGCAAGAATCATTAAAGATTCAAACTTTACACCCCCAGATCCCCAAAATTCAGATCAAACAACCCCCTTTTGCTCAAATTCACCAAAATCAATCAATCAAACACCAAAACTCCATTCTTGCATTGTTACCAAACCAAAAAAAACCACTCAAAAAAAAGAAAGATTTTCTTTTTATAAATTGTATGAAATGAAAAGGAGGAAAAGAGAGAAACCTTTGATTGCAATTGAAACTGAACTGAATGAAATGAACACTCCTTTCCCTCTATATATATACAAAAAAAAAACCTCTACCACTTTAATTTTCTTGGTTTTGCCTATCTATCTCTATAGTCTTTTTCTTTCTTTTGTTCTTTCTGTTTTTCTGTTTGTACTTAGTATAAGGGGCAGTTACTTGTTTTTTTTTTTATAAAAAAAAAAAGGAAAAAAATGGAGGAAGAAGAAAGCTATGGGGGGGTGGGGTGTTTTTTTTGAAGCCTTTGGATTCTCTCTGAAAATCAAAGTAAGGTTTTATGGCATAATTTTAGAAGGAATACTATACTTTATCTCTCTTCTTCTTCCCATTTTTTTTCTCTCTCTAACTATATTTTTTTATTATATATAATTAAATAAATAAAATATATTTATATAATAAACAGCTGGATATTATGTGTATAATTGTTGTATATTAAAATAAAAATAAAAATTGTAATAAAAGTAGGGAAAAAAAATACAAAAAAGACAAAGAGAAAGGTGGGAAGAAAGGGAGGATAAGCGTGGATGAGGAAGTTGTGGGACCCACTTTACAGCTTACTTCTTTACTTATACTTCTTAAAAAGTATTTTTTTTTGGGTTTATATATAATTAATTATGTTAATAGTAAAAAAAAAAATTATTTAAGTTATATATAGGAGTATCCAGTATTTCATAAAAATATGTTACACATTAAATAATAATACGTAAATTTTAAAAATTATTGAGAAGTGAAAATACGTATGTATACCGTATATAGTGCAAATGTAATATTTTTTGTAATAAATTTTGTTTATTGTTTTTTTTTATCAGTTACATATTAAAGTAACACAAAGTATCCGACGATTAATAAAGTTGCCTTTAAAATTTTATTGAATAATAAATATTATTTAATAATTTATAAGTTATTATTGTTAATGAGAAATGAAATACATAGTAACGTATTTGATGTAAATAAAAAATTTCTACACTATATAGTTTATAGTTCTTCTCCAATTCAATTATAAAATAAAAATGTGGTCAAAATGCAAATTATGCATACATATTTAATTTCATAGTATCAATTTAATAACAAAATTTATTTCACGTAAAAAAGGCTCATCAATTTAAAAATTTATTATTTATATTTGACTTATCCTCGTTTCACATTAGTATGTCTTTGTTATTCATTTTTGACTCGCCCTCGTTTCACACTAGCGTGTCTTTTTGTTAGGGGCGTTACATTAATCTTGACTGAACTGGTCAAATTTCAATAAAATGATATTTATTACGATCAGATTACTGGTAAAAGTTAGGTTAATAGTAAAAGTTATATTTAGATTTTCAAAAGGAGTTCATTTACTAGTCAAATTCTCAATTTAATGTTTTTCGACTTTAAGTTTTAACTCCCCAACTTCCATATTTGACTTCATAGTATAATATTACAAAGTATTTTCAAAAAAATTCATTAACTAGGAATTCACAATTTAATGTTTTTACGTTTTAACTCTCTAACTACCGTATTTGACTTCATAGTATAACAATACAAGGTACTTTCAAAATAGTTCATTTATTACGAATTCACAAGTTAATGTTTTTACACTTTAGTTTATAACCTCTAACCTCTAACTTCCACATTTGACTTCATAGTATAATACTTACATGATATTTTCAAAGAACTACATTTACAACAAATTTACAATTTAATGTTTCGGATTAAATTTTAACTCTCTAACTTCCACATTTGACTTCATAGTATAATAATACAAGGTATATTTAAAGTATTTCATCTAATACGAATTTAAAATTTAATGTTTTTACGCTTTAGTTTATAACCTCTAACCTCTAACTTCCACATTTGACTTCATAGTATAATCCTTATATGATATTTTCAAAGAACTACATTTACAACAAATTCACAATTTAATGTTTTTCGATTAAATTTTAACTCTCTAACTTCCTCATTTGACTTCATAGTATAATAATACAAGGTATATTTAAAGTATTTCATCTACTACGAATTTATAATTTAATATTTTTATGCTTTAGTTTATAACCTCTAACCTCTAACTTCTAAGTTCCATATTTGACTTCACAGTATAATACTTACATGATATTTTTAAAGAATTATATTTACTACAAATTTACAATTTAATATTTTTAAGACTTTAATTTAAAATCTGTAACTTCCATATTTGACTTTCACATTATAATATTAGGTGGTAAAAAAGCTAATAGTATATCATTTTTTGACCTATTTTTATTCAAACGTCTTTTTTTTTTTGACTACTCTAAACACAATGAAAACAAATCAAACTAGACAACTAAATCCTAATAAGGATTAATTAATATGATTAAAATATTACACACGCTTTATAACTGTGCATAGATTCTCCAATATAATCATAATAATTTAATATATACTTTTATAGTCCGAATAATGTAATATATACACGTTTAATTATTTTAGTTGAAAAGATTTAAAATTAAAGTCGGCTTCAAGCTTTGTTGTCTATTTTTCATTTTGAGGACTAATCAAACTTTTGATTATTTATTTTTTGTCTCTTTATTTTGCTTTTTTTTTAGAATGTCCACTAATTTATTTTATTTTTTAAAATTAGAACCTCCAAGATTTTGTTTGGTCAATTGTATTGATCAAACAAGAGTCAATTACAAAAAAAGTTGCCAAATTCCAATAGAATTTTAGGTCATCAAACATTATTATAATTGACCCCTTTGATGTGATCATATTTTTGTACTATTAGGCGGTTCCCCACCCTAAATTAAGCCATAATTAAAACATAAACTTTTTTAAGTCCAACTTTTCACCTTATAGTCTTTTAACCTTTATCTTATTGTCACAATATCGTAGAAATTTCAATTTTTTTAATATAAGATAATATTGATTAAAGATAGAATTTTAGTTTAACTTTGAAAAATATTGAATACGATTGTATTATCGCGTTTCTATTACATCTCATAACGATGTTGAGTTCGATAACGATAACTTAGTAATACTTGAATTATATTTATTGATAGATAGATAAAACGTTGAAAGTTTGATTTAGGACAGATATAGAATTTTAATTTAGAACTGAAAAATATTAAATATAATCGTATTATCATGTTTTTTTGTTATATTTCATGATGTTGAACTAGACAGTGAATATCGAAATTATATTTGGTGATAGAGAGGTAAAACTTTGGATTTGTGTCACAATCTCTTAATTATGAAAGTGATGATTATCAAACTTCAAGATGATCTTCTACCAATGACCAAACACCAAAAGATAGAAAGTGATGGTAGGGTAGTTTTAAACTATCTTTTCTATTCCCTAAATTGTATGTGGTCCTTTTCCATGTGTTAGATAATCACATCTAACGCCCAATTGTTAGTCTTCTTATATTTTAATTTATTTTTACAAAATAAAAAAAAATTGAATATTTCTAGATTATAAGGTAAGATTTCTTTTTGACTTAATCTATCTTTGGTAATTTTGTAAGTCAAATTCACATTTTAATTTGAGATTATTATCATAGCTAGTATTTGACCATTCATCTTTTGCATTTGTTAATACCATAATATAATTGATTTTCGAATATATGCACCTATATTTTGACAAACATTTCAAAACATTATTTTCTCCATTTTATATTAGTGTTGTGTTTTTCTTTTATAATCTAATAAACTGCATTTCGCTTAAAAAATATAATAATTTAATCTTATTTTAAGAATATTTAATACAAGGGTTAAAATTAAAATAATTAGTTTCACCTTATTTTATACTGATAAATTAATTGAGATAAATATCTTTAGTAACTTGACACCTATAGTATTGATTGACGTATTTTATTATGTATTTCAAATAATTTGCATAAATACATCTATACGGTAAAATCTCAAAGTAGAATACAAAACCATTTATTTTGAGTATACATAAAGAGCAAAAAATAATAAAATAATATCATTTTTTAGATTCAAATAGTAAAACAAAATGATGGTGATTGGTTGTTGTAATTTCGAATCCGTGTATACTTTTTTGACTTGTGAAAAAAAAACATCATAATGCATTCCTCTTTTGAACAACCGTAAATTACAATTAAATGACTTAAATTAAAAAATAAAAATTAAAGTCGTAGCTTATAACTTTTCTATATTAAAAAGAAATAATTGAAAAATTGTAGAGAAGTATTGGAATATGTACAATAAATATTTACTAGCCTGATTAATTTTGAGTCTAGTTTTAATAAGATTCATCAAAAATCAAAAAAAAATATTATTAGAAATGTACCTTTTTAGGCTTTTACATTGCTAAAAATAATTTCTAACGCGAATTAATAAATATTTTCATTTATTAAAAAAAACTTAAAATGTTCACTAAAGTACTGGATAACTTTTTTTTTTGACACTATTATATTTTCTTAACTTACGAATTAATAATAGTTTTCAATTAAAAGTTTAAATAGGAAAACAACAATTTTTTTATGATGTTATCCAAGTTTTGTTCCTACTTCAATTTTTTTTTATATGTAAATATTAAAACCTATAACAATGACAAAATATTAAACCACCGCTTCACCTCTTCCACCTCTTTGAATTTTTAAAACCTTATCATCTTTCAGAAAAGTCTAATATTTTTAAAACCGACCATTTACTTAACAACTGTCTTAGAAACAAAAAATTTTCCGAAAACTTCAAAATTGAGAGTCCCAATGAAGCGGTGATTTTCTATTTTTATGTAACGTAAGATAAAATGAATTGTATTATGATGTAAAAATTGTAGTTTATGTTGACTAAATAGCTAATAAATACAAACCGATTAAAGGTAAAGACAATTTAAAGGAGTTATAAAGATAGGAGGTTGAGAAAATGACAATTAAGTGGATTAAGCTTAGCTAAACACAATGCCGTGTCACCGTTTATTTTCTTAAGTGATAGTGTACCATTTGGTGTCTTTGTTATTCAAATATTTTAAATTATCTTACATCATCTCTACTTGAACATGATAACGATAATAATAACCTAAGGAGTGTAGAAATTGAAGGTAATAATATAAGTTCAGTGTAATTTTATAAGTAAAATGTATAAAAATTGTTTTTAATTAAAAAAAAATTGATATTAAGGAAGATATAATAATGGAACTACAATGTTAAGTATAATAAAGTTGGTTTTAATAAAAATTAGATTACTGTAAAGCATTATAAGATTAAGTATGAGAACTAAAGAAGGCATAGTAGGGGAATCGCGACGTTAAACATAATAGAGAAGAGAATAACCTTAATAACGTAAAATAACTATAATGGGTTGTTAATATATATACATGTCATTAATTATGTTTACTTTCAATATAAGATCGATAACAATA